TGACATCAATAGTATCCAAATCAATCTATAAACACACAAAAGAGGCATTTCACTTTCATAGGAAGAAAAGGAACAAAACCATTAACACAGTTTGAAGAAAAGACAATTGGCCAAAACGAAGAAACTTTACAGACCACTTCTCAAACGTTTCAGGTGTTACATCAGCACTACAGCAACTGAAGAGGCACAAGCAGTCACCTAATTATCTTCAGGAATCCACCTCTTATCAATGCTTGCTGACAGGGGACCTCGACAAAAGTGCAGGGCTACATGAGAACAAACTTTCTGCAGAGAGCCCCTGCTGAAAATGCACGTTACTCCCAAGATACATCCACACAGCAGTGAGCAGAAAGCAAACACCAATGGTGCTGCTTGCACAGGATAAAGATTGTAGCAGCAGTTCCTGAAGAGCTCAGTGCAAGCTCAGGTGGGAAAATGCCAAAATCCATCGAAACAGGTCCGGCCAGCCTCTCCCTGCACCGCCCACCCTGAGCACTAGCTCGGTGCTTCCCCCAGGCCCAGGAAAGGCTGCTCCAAACCAACTGGTCCTTCCACTTTATAGAGCACGGCTTTAAGCACCTGAATCGGTAAATCAAGGGCTGCACAGCCACCTTACACACACACTGCAGGGCAAAAGCTTTTACTGCCTGTCCCCAGGACTAACTGCCCAAGTGCACATTAACAAATTATGAAGTCTACTTATAAAAAAAGAAATCAAATCACTCAATCAAAATGTTTAAAAACATGCAGCATAGAGCACAAAGGATGCCATGACTGCAATTCCCCTAACAGTTATGTTTCTATTTATTTATGCACAGGAACAGCATAAACCCCCATATCTTTAGCCCCCACAAGAATTAAGAAGATTTAACTATAACTTTGACATTTATTCCTAGCTTTGTTATCACTTCTTCTTGTGCAATTGAAGTTTCTTTGATCAACAGCTCTTATTAGCGTCTTCTCCCGTCCTTAACATTTTTAATGAGGAGAGTTTTTCTGAGCATCAGAGATATTTCTCCCAAATTCTCACAGGTAATGCTGACATACTCTGCACAGTAACACCTTCAGCTACCCTGAAGAGAGCACTCCCAGACTGACTGTGCAGTGTGAAGTTTAAATGTGACCTACTCAGGGTGCTCTCACACGCTTCTGACTACCTGAATTATGAAAAAAGCACGGCACACACTCTTTGAATATCCTCTACATGAGAGATCCAAACCCTGAGATTAATCCACCTCTTTTCTTTACAGTGTATTTTCAATTGAAGGAGTGTAAGTTTTAACATACTAAAAACTGCAATAGCTACAGAGTTTAAATAAAACAGTTAATAAAAGCATCTGTGGATACAGAGCAAACAGAAAAGATACTATGTTTTGAAAATATATTATAGAGCTGAGACTATTAAACATTACTGCCACAGCAATTACTTGTGGCCTTGTCTCTTTTCATGAAAATGGTATTTGAGTAATTCACATTTCTACCTCTGTTCCTTCCTCGAAAGACACACAGAAAGTTTGCTTAGTCCAAAGCCAGAAAGCCCAAGAACTTCAAGGGAAAACAGTAAAATACAAAACTGTTAAAAACTTCACTAGCCAGAAAGCTTTGAATATTTCAGCTGGAGAGGATGACAAGTGACATCAGCTCCTGCTGAGAACAAGAATTACATCATTAAAGGGAGCAAAGGGAGTTCTCCAGAGAGAAAACTTGAGACCATTAGACCTCAACAGAAGCTTCAGTCTAGCTAAGAATGATGAGAATTTAACAGCTCATTTATAAGACAACTACACTCTTCCCATTTTGGTAACCTGGAAGAAAAGGCATCATAAACTTAACAACATTTATTCATGTTCTTAATTCAGACCTGGATCCCAAAAAATGTGATTCTGTTCTTCATTCATAGGACAAGGGTATGCCTTTCAAGACACTAAGGTCACATATTAGTCAGCTGTCTGGTATTCAAAACTAGTAATTTTTTTTTTAGTATTAATATTATTTTTAAAAAATCACAACTTACTTATAAAAATAAAAAGTATTTTCAGATGTTCAAGTTTGTTAATATTTAATAACTGATGAAAACTCTCAAAAATATCACAAATGCTGACAAAAGCTATTTATTCTGCTAACAGCAAATTCCTTCTTTGTCTAACAAGACTGCTTTTGCTTTTGCCTTGTCTTGTACCCACCTGTTCCCTATTTATGTCTTGCATAAAACACTGCCAGCACTGGCATTTGAAGACAGCCCTGATCCAACATGTATTTAAGTTAATGAAGTCCCACCAAGTCAGCCTTGAAAGGCAGTACCGACTCCCAAACCATAACAAGTGAAACAACAAGCACACCCTGATGAGATTCATGCCTAATGACTAATTGGAAAATCAGGAGCTTTAAGCTGTGTTATAATGGACTGCAGGAGCACATAACTGACAGCAGAGCAGGGGGAGAAAGAGGGGAACAGTGCACAAAATGCTCCCAGCTCCTCTGCAGTTATTTATTTCCCTGGTGCAGTGTTCAAACTGGACAGTCTCTCAAACCAAAGGAAAAATTGGAATTAAACATATTCTACAAGTTTAAAAACTTGTAGGAAAGCCCAAGCCGTAAGAATAACCAATAACTGTTTTCTTCTAGAAGCTGATATGGTTGTAGATAGGAGCTGCTCTGCTCAACAAGTCTGACTACAAACCCAAACTCCTCACAACCTGTCACACAAAACTCTCAGATGCGACTCCTGAACACGTTAGTTAAAAGGTATGGAAGGAAACAGACCTATGCTCTAGCTGGTTTTAAAACCATAAACTCTTCCTTACTACAGTAAGAAACCAATAAAGGTCTGGATCTGGCAATCATATTTTCACCAACAGTATTTCTCTCTATCTCCTTTATATTACTAGCCTCTCACATCTGCCCTTCCTGTACGCATTCACAGATTAATATCTGGAAGCAAAAGTGAAAGCACGAGCCCGCGGGAAGCGCCAGCACTGAAGGGTTTACAGCCCGGGATCTGAAAGCACAGTTCACCTCTCCCGGGGGTTTCTCGCTGCAATTCACTACCGGACCATCACCCCCAGCTCCGGCAAAGGCGGCACTCAGCAAAACTAAAGACTTTCAAGATCTCGCCGGGCAGCAAGCAGGGCACAGCACGGTCTCCCGGGCGGTTCCATCCATACGGACACATACGGCCTTGCCAGGACGGCGGCCGGACCTCGGCGGGGGAAGGAGGAGCTCCCGCGCCCGGTGGGTGCCCGGGCTGAGGGGGGCGGCGATGGCGCGCAGGCCGCGGCCCCTTTGTGGCGCCCCGGCCCGGCGGTCCCGCGGCGGCTTTGGCGGGCCGGGGCGCTTTGAAACCGCGCCCACACCGCAGCGGCAGAGCGGCCCCGCCGACGCCGCGCCCCCGCCGAGCGGCACCCGCGGCCCCGGGCCCGGCCTCCCCCCGCCCGCCCGCCCGCCCGCGCCGGAGCGCCCCAGCTCCCGCCCCGGCATCGACCCGCACCACGTAAATGCTGCTGAAGCCGGTGAGCACCAGGTTCTTGAGCAGCTCGCAGCCGATGCCGCCGGCCCCCACCACCAGGACCCGCGCCTGGGACACGGCCTGGGCCAGCTCGGGGCGCAGAGGCCCCGACAGCGCCGCCGCCATGATGGACACGGCGGCGCCTCCGCGCGCCTCCTCACGGGCCCGCCGGGACAGAGCGCCGCCCTCGAGCGCGCAGCGCCCCCTACCGCCCCGGAGGACCGCGCACTGCCCGGGAAAGCCACCGCGGGGCGGGGATGGAGCGACCCGAGTTCGAGCCCCGCTGCCGCCGGAGAGCCCCAGGGAGCACTCCTGGCGCAACAGGAGATTTTTATTTGTTGCATTAATTCTTAATATATTTATAGTTCAAATATACATATTTAATATGTTTATATGCTAAAGATTTTCATATATTATATTATTATAAAGAGAGCTCAATAAGTGTTTGGACAATGTTCCCAAGCACATGGTGGGATTCGTGGGGCATCCTGAGCAGGGCCAGGACTTCATGATCCTGATGGGTCCCCCACAGCTCAGCATATTCTATTATATTTTTAATATATTTATTTCTAATGTTTTTTATTTTTTATATTAATTTTTATTACTTCACCTAAGTTAACTAGCTTGCCTCCAGAAGCTGACATAGTAAGCTACAATTCCTTCTTAAAAGCAGTTTCGCAATGTGTGTCGTTTCCTCTCCTCCCAACCTCCCCTTCCTTTAAACCCACACTTTTAGTGCATTAATTAATGTTTCAGCATTAAACCTGTATAGAATGCTCTAAGACCACTCAAATTACTTTTCTTACAGTCGGTGAAGATACTGCAGTTCAGCCCAGGCAGCAGGGAAGGCACAGGAGAATGCAGATGGTTTTAAAGCTGCACAATCCCCCTGCACCGAGGCAGGTGCTGAGCCTACTCCACTTCTGTACCTGTGAGAACACAAGGGTTAACTCACCCCTGCATCTTCTCCCTACACAAACCCATGGCACTGCCACAGCTCATTTTACAAACTGAACAAATGGAACCTTTAATTCACTGGAAAAACAGAAAAGCTTCATGTTGGAAGGCTGCAGGGACAGCAAGGCCCTTCAGCCACTCCCCATCGAATTTCCAATCCATGGTCAAATCAGAGCAGAATTTCTTTTTAAAATCAGGCTAGCATTAAGTTCTCCACTGGTAAGAGTTTTTAGAAACTGGATTATGTGTGGCTGATGGATACTAATAGTATATGAGAAAGGTTTTCTCCTTTACCTCTTTCCCAAATACTAAGAGTAATTAGAACTGTGAAACAAGCTCTACACTACAACTTCCATGTGTAATCAAAGTATGTGAATTTTGCCACCACATTTTAGAGGCATGCTAATATCTTCCAATCAGTTATTCTTGGAAATAAGCACAATGCCATTAAACAGATTTAATTTTTCACCACATCTGAGGAAAATTCTGTATGTAATTACATACTAGTAGTAAAAGAAACCAAAACATCCCAACAGACTTTTCATCTATGCAGAGAAATACAATTTATTTAAATAATCTCTGATCTGGGTCTTCTTGTACAAAAATATATTCTTCAAGAGGAGTTTGATGATTTGTCGGCCAACAGCTTCTCTCACACGTGTAAACTATAACAGTTCCAAATTCCACTGACAGATCTAGAAACAAAGCAACAAAGGTACATAAGGGTATGAAAAGTGACATAATTAGGGGCTATTGCTTACCTCTAGACTTTAGTCTTTGCACAAATTAATTCAGTCTCCTCTGTAAATAGTATTTTCTAATGTTAAACATTTTACAGGCAGCCGAATCAGAATTTTCTAAGAGATTTTTAATTATCTGCAATCTTATCTCTTATCTCCAAATCTCTTATCTATTTTCCAAGGCCTCCTTTAAGAGGCAATAAAGACAAATGCTCCCAAGGCCATGGAATTATCCCTACTTCAGTTATTGAAGTTCACTAGTGAGCAACTCAAACTGTAATCAGAGACTTCATAAAGCAGAGTTCTCTCTTTGCTCACTGAAATCTGCAGTGGAGATTCTCTGAACACCATCCCTGTGGTTAAGCACATGTGGGTAGCTGGAAACAACCCAAACTGCAGTTCACTGCACTTTCCCAAAAGGGAGACTGACAGAAATATTGATTCAACCAAGTCAAGCACCTGAGTCACTCTGAAGCATGCTGACCAGAGTGGGCATCAGCTGGAACTCAAACACTCTGCTGCTTCCACAGTTACTGCAGGCTGGAATATCCTGGTCCAGGTTGGCTGGAGGACATGTGATGAATAAAGGCTGGCCACCCCAAGAGTATCTGAGAGAAGACAGGGAAGAAAAAATGATGAATTTTTAAAATATCTAAATTTGATAGGAAATCTTAGATGCTTGCAACAGTGTTCAGGATTTGCTGTAATCTCTGAACCTGCTTCAAGTAAAAAACATGGTTGTGAGTCAGAAGTTTCAAAGGAATCATGAACCAAAAAATAAAGACAGGGAGGGGGAAACACTTGGTAGGTTAATATTTGGAAAATCTTAAGGAAAGAGCTGTATTTAGAGGAGACAAATGCTTTGAATGGACACGTCCAAAATATGCTGTACTGGAATAATTTCATTAATTTGCCTAAAAAATGGAATCCTAAACAGTGGCAATAAAATATAAAAATTCAACAAAATAAAACAAAATTCAACAAGTATAAGATTTAACATCAAACTGGTCTCAAAACCACTGTAGCTATGGCTCAGAAGTGTTGGTTTATTTTTAAGAGCTACCAAAATGTTGCAGCTTACAGGAAACAAAGACTAAGGATGGTTTCCACTGAGTATCAAGCAGGAGATTCTGTGCTCTACTGAAGACCAACAGGGACCCTGCAGGCAGGGGAAATGTGAGTCTAAGAACACACTGACAGCCCTCAGGGAGGGCAAAGGGAAGCTATGGAAAGATTCTAACCAGAGACAGCCCAAGGAGCACCAGAGCTGATGTTTTATAGGAATGGAAAATTCAAAGAGCATAATACTGCAAAGTGACAGATCCAGTGAAAAGCTGTCTGAAAATGCTACTTGCACTCTGCACTAGAAAATCTCCTAATCTTTGGCAATTAATAAGTTTCTCATGTCCCTTTTCTGTCTAAGCAGCCACTCAGACTTTTAACTCCTCATCAAAAAGGGATGAACTAACCCCAGTTAGCTCCACCTGGTACTGCAAAGTTGGTAAAACAAAAACCCTGTCACTACACTGAGACAGCCTGACCAGACAGGCAGCACTGGACTCCCTGGAGCAGTCAGTGTGATCCATGAAAACCTGTATTTTCTGATACTATGAATGACTTAAGATTTACTCTTTGCTATATTCCCATCCAGAATCAACTCCTCACTCAGGAAGAGCAGCTACTCTGAGGTTACACCTGCTTTTGTTCTAGGAAAAGCAACAGATTTAGAAGACCTGAAGACTGCTGGGTGCTGAGGGGAGTCCACAACGAGCTGCAGAACTGGGGCCTTAAAACAAGTAATTCCTTGCAGGATAGACATTAGAAATTCCACAAAATTTCAGAGGAGCAGACAGCATTGGAAATCTATCACAACAGCACCCCACTGTCATACTTCCCCCTCAACACTGTCTCTTGGAAACTTCTGTGCCTGGATTTCAGTGAGGCTTCAAAGACAGTCAGGCTCTCTTCTCATCAGGTCTTATCTCAAAACTCTCCCACAGCCAGAGCTATGGTCTCTGATTCTGCTTTGCTTCTCATCTACTTAAACTTTGTAAAAAGAAAGCCCAACCAGGGACTGAAGTCTGACCAGAGACATGGCAACAGCCTCCACTGCAGTTTTTTTCAGTTAAGGAATTAAAACATACACATATTTCCAATAAAGAATTTATTCTGATGTACCAACCATCCATGCCAATGATTTGTATCTCCCTGTTACAACCAGATTATCAACATACCTTAGAATCTGTTCAGGACAGATAGATATTCTTTTCATGAATTTATGGAATGTGTGATCCCAGCTTTTTACTTCACTCTTCTCATATTTTTCATTACCATCTTCACCTGCAAAACTGTATGGAAACAAGAAACAAACTGTCTGGTAAGGTTTTCAGTACGACATAAATGTTTTAAATAAGGAATGGTTACTATAATCTCACAATTATACTAAATACACTGAAAAAAAATATATACATGTTAAGAGCAAATTCCTGTTAGAGGTTGCAAGTGAAACTTTTTTCTTCTCATTCTTTGGTTTCTGGTGACTTACTAACAGTGTTGCAAACTATCACATGGGACTCAAATCCACCAGATACCTGCTTTATGCCATCAAAAACCCCTTCCTCTAATAACTCCTGAAAAATTTTGTGTTTTTTAAATTGTGATGTTGTCTTTTGCAATTTTGAATCAAGCATAATTGAACTTCTACAGTTGTATAAAGGTCAACAAAAATCAACAGGACCAGCACTGCTGAAAAGTCTTCTCTGCAGATTCTGCAGCTGACAGCAGCTTTAGCTGTAAACAAATCAATGCTGTCCACAGTTCAGGCACAAGTGGCCAAAAGTCCTCACTGTGACCAAGTTCAATATTTTACTAAGAAAATATTTTCAGTAACCACGCTCAATAATTGCTTTTCAGGCAACCTTTACTAAACCTTCAGGTGTCCTACCATCAACCCAGTCTCTAGCCAAAATCCTTGAAAAATTCAACTCCGAAAAATTCAACTCCTAAAAATGCAACAGGAACACAAGAAGAGCTTTAGCCCTGTAAAGAAAAACGCATAAAATATCATGATAGAAAGTCATGCCATTTAGCACAGATACTGTTTCAGAGATTAACCACCCACTGCACCACCTGGAGCCCCTGAACACTCCAAGTGCTCAGTCACTCAGAAATAGCTGCATCTTTGACTAACTCCAGATTTGGCAGCACTGGCTGCATTGTTCTGATCATCCTGCACAGCATACCACTGGTTTCTGAAGAAGCTTCCAGACATCTCTTTCAGGTTTAGTGAGAGTCCCATTTAGATTATCAATCAGCATACAGGAAACAACACAATTCCTTGTTTCTCCACGAAATCCAGACCTGTTCTCACCTTTCTGACATCATCTGTTCCAAATCAACACACTCTCTCTGCTGATACTCCTTCAGTAGCTTATGTGCATGATGTGTGTCAAGGAAACCCATGTAGTCTTCCTCATCCACAACATTAATGTAGAAGGGCTGGAACACAGGAGCTGAAGCAGCCGTTGCCATCACCATGTCCTCACAGGCTGCAGGATGTGTGTCCTGGGCACCTGGGTCATCCATGTCCTCCCAGGCTGCAGGATGTGTGTCCTGGGGACCCGAGCCATCAGCAGGCTCACACAGGTGCAGCTGCTGGAGCCGGGATGCAAACTCCACCTCACTGCTCACAGCTTCCTTTAGGCCAAGCAGCTCAAGGGAGGCACATGCAGGAGGCTCTGCTCCATCACAGGCTCCCCAGTCATCCGCATCTTCACACCAATCCTTTGCAGCAGAGTTCCATTCTTCTTTCTGAGAACCAAAAAAAGCCAAAAGGGAAGAGAACATTGCCAAGGTCTGCCACCCTAACGTTCCTCAAATTCAGCTTCTAACAGATGACAGAATTGAGGCCTTAACCTAATGCTCAGCGCTGTTGCACCTACTCTCCTCACCGTGGTACTTCCCAACACAGCCACAGTTCCTTCTCCCACCATCACAGTTCTGGCAAAAACATCTCATGGTACAGAAACAGAGCAAGAATTCACAAGCCCTCAGAGAGGCTCTTGTGCTCCTGCTGCCATGCCCCGGCTGTGGCACAGCCCCTGCCAGCTGCGGGGGCAGCTCCAGCTGAAGCAGCAACTGCACCCAACTGGAATTCTGCACCCAAAGGGCAAAATACAGAAGGAGATAATAATAACACCACCACCATATTATCAGAGTACAAGCCCATTTACCACAGGCCAACGTTTCACATTGCAAATGCACCAACTGAATAAACCCTCCCTGCCTGCCTCCACTAGCTTGGTTCACCCTACTCCTCCAATCTGCTATAGCCAACATGCCATTTTTTCTCACAAGTATATCAATATTAATTGAGTCACTTTAATTAAAAAGCTTGTGTTAAACTTAAAGAGATCCATTTAAAATAGAAGACAAAGAAAACAGCTTTAAGATCCAAACCTAAACAGTGTAACAGTAGAGCAAGTTTAGTCAGCTGAACTATTAAGTATCAGTTTTGGCCATACAGCTGGACAGTTATTTCCACTTTAAAACCAGCCAGCAAATAGTAGCTTAATCACTGTTTAACTATCTTATAGTCAACAGCATAGTGCAGTGACAAAAATTCTGTGACCACGACTTCTCCACACAACCACGGAACGTGACTGGAAACCATCAGAGTACAGCTTCTGCAGGAAGCTTATTTAAACAAGGAGATGCAGGGTGTGCAAGTCATGCAGCTCAGCCTCGGCTCTGGTCCGGAGCGCTCCCCCTGCAGCCCCGGCAAAGTCCGGACAGGCACAGATAGCTGAGCTCTACCTGTTTGACGCCGAGATCTCGGGGTTCTTTCTCCTGGGCCTGCGAGTACTGGGAGCGCAGCACCTTCCAGCTTCCGTGTGCCAGGCAAAGAGAAACAGAGGGTGAGGGGGACAACTGACCGGCGGTAGGAACAACAACAGGAACAACAACAACAACAGGACCACCACCCCCCAGGAGGGACGCGGCCCGGCGCTCACCTGCGGGCGGCTCCCCAGCAGCGCGGCGCGGCGCAGGCGAACACGTGGAGCGCGCGGTGCGCGGGGCCGCGCTCCAGCGGGCAGTACACCTGCACCAGCAGCAGCAGCGCCCGCCCGCACCGAGCGCACCGCGCCGGCCCGGAGCGCACCGCCGGCAGCCAGTCCTGCAACACCGACACCACCGCTCAGGCCCGGCCGGGGCCCGGCGCATACCCCTCGCCCGGCCGGGCCCCACAGCCCCGTCCCGCCCCGCCGGCCCAGCCGTACCGCGGTGCCGCCGAGCTTGTTGGTGGCCCATGCGGGGAGCGGCCCGGCCGGACTCGGCCCCGCCATGGCGGCGTCGCGCAGCCCCAGCAGCACGGGCGGCCTTCCCGCCATGGCCCCGCCGCCGTGCGCGTGCCAGCCTGAGGCGCCGTGCGCGTGCCCGCCTGAGCGGCGCCGCGCCGCGCGCGCCCCCGGGCCGGGCGTTCC